AATAGGTACATGAAGAATATGTTGAATTATTATTATTATTATGGTACACATAACAATGACAAATATATAAATGAAAATTTCCCACAAAGAATCTTGTGGAACTAGGGAATATCATAAAACCCCAAGAGAACAAACTTCATCATTGTAGTGATATTTGGTTTTTCAGTTTTAAATTGTTCTTCTTCTGCAAGATTATAAATTCAGTATGGTTAATTTGTTCATAATTTAAAATAAATTGCTCATCTGTTACCTGGATTTGACACATAGACATATTTATATGAGCTATCAAATTTTTCCTTGCTTTGTTGGATGAATTTTGAAATTTCAAAATGAATTAATATATAGCTAAAGTGTTATGAGATTTAACTGTAATTTTACCAAGAGTATTGAGAATTGCATGCTTTGACTTTGAATTGAAACTAATATTTCTAATAAAATGTTCAAATAATATCAATTAGTGATAGCATACTTTCATTGTTATAATTACCGAAAGAGATATTTCAAAGTTTTTTAATTATGATATTTACCATCTCACATTACAAAGCATATCTATTCCTTATTGCCACCAATATGTGCTCTACCCTATACGAATTATTGAAAGTACAAAGTGTTCTTCTCCTGTTTTCCCTATCTGTACTTTATCTTTCTTATTTAACAGCATGAAAAGAAGCCAAATAGTGAGATTAAAGGAGGATATTTTAATGATACTAATAATCAGAAAATAGTCTTTATTTTTGATCATTTAATCTATATTAAATACTACCCATATATTGCAAACACAATCTTAATCACATCATTGTTTTTTTATTTTTAATATTAAATAACATCATTAATGTATTGATGTAAATGTTTACTATTTTTCTTCATGTCTATAACTTACCTGACAATGGAAATTTTAAATAATGTTTAGTGTAATCATATCAAAAATGTGAAAACATTTGAGATCATTCCAGATCAGGTAAGACATTAACTGAATATCCCTAAGTGAGCACACTCAATATCACATGGAACAGAAAAACCATCTAGAAATTCTTTACTCAGACATTTTTGACATATAAGGAAATGATATTGTTGTAAGCCACAAGCTTTGAATTTAATTTTTGTCAGCCAATAAGGAATTGGTGTATGTACTTATATTGTTACAAAACCAAATGTCTTGCCTTTCCTTCCATTTTTCCTCCAGGTGTGCACAATTGTCATTTCACATTTTTCTGACTATTCTATCCTCTAAAATGATTTTCTTAATAGTTTATGTTTTATAGATTATTTTTATTGGTACTTTGGCAACAAGAAAACTAACTGAAGAATACATTATGACTATACACAAAATAAAAAGTTTTAATGGATATTATGCAAAAGGAGAGACAGACTTATAGACAACAACCAAAATGAGTTACATTCTCTCAAGTCTACATGACAAGCTATTTATATGTTTTCAAGTCTGTTATGCTTTATGGAATAATAGTCTACATGAATATTAGGCTTGTATACAACATAAGTCAGAGTTTAAAATTGATTTTAAAGTATTCTTTTTTATTAATTCACAGCTGAATATACTTTTTGGGTCATTTCTTCCTCTTGCCCATGCCCCCAACCTCTGCCCCCCTCCCACCTCCCTTCCAGGCAGAACCTGTTATGCGCTGTTCTCCAGTTCCACTGAAAAGTAGAAATAAGCAATAATAAGAAAGACATAACATTTTTGATAGTTGAGATAAGGATACCCATACAGAGAGATTCCTAGCATGGCTTTCATGTACAAATGTGTTACAACCCAGGTTGATTCATCTCTAACTGATCTTTACACTGGTTCCTGATCCCCTTCTCATGTTGACCTCTGTAGCTTTAAGGTTTCTGTATTAATTCCTCTGGAGTGGGAACATCAAATGCTTTCAGGTTTTGGGTTTTCTATCTAACCCCGTACCTCCTGTATATGTTCTCCCCTTGTCATTTAACCCAAGTCCTACAACGTTGCTGTATTTGCCCTTGATCTAAAGACCACATATGAGGGAGAACATATAATTTTTAGTCTTCTGAGTCTGACTAACCTTGCTCAGAATGATGTTCTCTAGTTTCCTCCATTTACTTGCAAATGATAAGATTTAATTTTTCTTTATGGCTGAGATAAATTCCATTGTGTATAAATACCATATTTTCTGGATCCATTCATCAGTAGTGGGGCATCTTGGTTGTTTCCATAACTTGGCTATTGTGAATTCGTTTTAGAGATTTATATTGTATTTTAAATAAATTTAAAACAAAATATTTAAAACTTAATCAGACATTTGAAATGTTTCACACTTTTCACTACTTTCTAAACATAAACATTTTCCTCTGATATCATGTTAATTCAGCCAGAAGAATTTTTTGACATTTTCATTGGTAAGTTAAATATTCTAGTAATGGATTCCATAGTTTCCCTTTGCTGAGTTTCTCTACATCAACATTATCTTTTTTTTGAACAGCACCACTAATGTATATTTAAAATATAATAAACAGGGCTGGGAATGGCTCAAGTCATAGAGTGCCTGTCTAGAAAGCATTAGGCCCTTAGTTCAAACCCCAGTACAACAACAACCACCATATATATTTGCATATATATAATATAAATAATATATATATACATATATACATGTATGTGTGTCAGCAGGTGTGTGTGTGTGTGTGTGAGTCTGTTTGTATAAGTGTATATATAATATGTATATATATGTCATATATATAATATGTATATGTATATATACATATATATAACAAAACCACATATATGGACCTGGGGATGCAGCTCAGTGATACAGTATTTACTTTGTCTATTTGAAGCCCCTGAATTACTCTCCAGCACTACCAACAACAAAATATTTAAACTTATAAGTGTGCAATTTGATATTTCCCATCTGTATATAAAGGTCAACATCCTGACAATCAAGATAATGAATATGAGCATCCCATCCAGACATTTTCTCATATGCCTTCCCTTAGTAACACACAACAATGACATTGAAATTGGACTCCTTGTGGCAAAGGACACAATCTCAATTGTTATGTTCTAATATTGAATCTTTTATGTTACCATTTTTAGTCTATTTTGGTGAACATTTCCTTAAAAAAGGTGTACTGTGCAATTGTGGGGTACTGTACATTAACAACAATATAGTCTTGTATTTTATCCACACTTTAAATATGTAATTTGAACAAATGAACAAAATAAATTCTTTCAAATCAGACAGCTAAATTTCTCAAATGAGTTTCAGATATGTAAGGAATTTAAAAGTCTGCCATTGTTTCCATGAAAACAATTTCCTAAACAGATATTAATGAATTTTAAAAGTCTTAAGAATAATATATGACTTTAAAATGATAGATAATATTTGATAGGTGAGCATGTTAAAAACTCTTAAAATAGCATATTGTTATGTGTTAAGTATTTCATTTTCACCATTGTATGATTTTGATGAGTTGTGACTTCTTTCTATGTGTTCTTTAATTAGGTGAGCTCTGACCATAACAGGACATAAGTTGTTTATAACAAAATGTCCTTAAGCATTGAGAATCCATTCAAGGTTGGCTTGAAACCAGCTTTTCAAGAGTAAGGATGCATAAAGGAAGTCTGCTAATCCAAACGATGGCCTCTTTATGCCACAAGCTTGACATATTGATTCAGCACATAATTTCCTCTCAACATAAATATAGGCTCCACAGAGAGGTATGGCAATCAGCTACACCTGTACAAGACAACCCTAAACTTCCCTTTCTTGGTATCCTATCAACAAGTAGCTTATCTCTTCTTCCTTTAAATTCCCTCTCTACCAGCCAGTCAGTGACAGATATGAGTTTATTTCCTATCTCCTTGATGGTGAAACTTCAATAAAAGCTATTTTTAAAAAATCCTGATGCTATGATACTGGCTTTTATGTGTATTGGGAAAATTAACCCTTGTGAATTACCAATATCTCAATGTACAGGATAATAGCCTGGGCTTTTGGCATACTGGTAAAAAGGTTTCCTGTGTTAAAGGAGATAAGTTCCAATGCCCAAGGGGGAAGGGAAAACAAAAACAGTATGAGTGCTAGTAGGAATGATTCATTGGGTCATTGCTACATATGTGTAATATGAACTTTTTAATAAGTGTATAATTGTCTTGTATTTGTATATCATATTAATAAAAATATTTTTTATTTGAGCATTAAGTTTTTGCTTTTTTATTTAGAAAAACATTGCTATAATCAACATTGTATTATACAGTTTTTATTTATATTAATCATTTTTGTACATGTATTTTCATGCAGTAAGATTTTTAATCCTATGTGTTAGTTATGTCATGTGACTGTATAAAATCTAAGTGTCTAGTACTTTATTTTATATTTTTGGTGACACTAGGGTTTGAACTCAGTGCCTTGTTCTTTCTGGCTAAGCACTCTACTATTTGAGCCACTCTGCCTAACCGTTCCATATTATTTTGTAAAAGAGAAATTTATATTACTTCCAAGGAAGGTTTCAAAGTAAGAAAAATGTGATTTCATCTAGAGTATATTTTGCATATCACATCATCTTTTTCAGTTATACATCTTAATTACCAGGTTACAATGATAGGGAAGACTGATCTTAAAAGTAGAGCATTGCTAAATGAGTCAACATAATTGTAATAGCTGTAAGGACATAAAGATCTATTAAAAGAAAATGAAATCAAATAAGGTGTCTATCCACAGATGGATAAAGAAAATGTGGTATGAATGAGATTTTATGACTTGTAGGAAAATGGATAGAACTGGAAATCACAACGTTAAGTAAAATAAGCCTATTGAAAAAGACAAATATCACATGTTTCTTTCATTTGTCATTTAGGGGGAAAATGAAATGACAGTGAATGGAGGGGTAGTAGGGATGTACATAGAGATGGGGTACAGGGGGAAGAGGACATAATATACATGAATGGAAGTATCATAATGTAAACCCTTACTTTGTTCAGTTAACATACACTAATACCAATTAAATGTATTTCATGAGTCTCACAAGGCTACTATTTTGTGAAATAATTTTCTCAAAGCCTCAGTAAAATCCTTGTTCCTCAGACCATATATCATAGGATTGAGCATTGGAGTCAAAACAGTGTAGAAAAGAGAGAGCAATTTGTCTGTTTCCTCATACTGATTGGATTTGGGTTTTAAATAGGTGATACTGGCTGATCCATAGAATAAAAATACAACTATAAGGTGGGAAGAGCAAGTGAAAAAGGTTTTGGGTATTCCTATGTTGGATGGTAATTTGAGGATAATTGAGATAATTCTGCAGTAGGACCCAAGGATCAATATAAAGGGAACAGTAACAAGTAATGCAGCAAATACATACACCACCATCTCATTCACAAATATGTCCCCACAAGCCAGTTTGAGCATTGGGGGAATGTCACAGAAGAAGTGGTTGATTTGGTGATATTCACAGAATGGCAGAGAGAAAATCTGGTATGTCTGCCCTATCTCCACTGGAATTCCAATGAGCCAAGAACCAGTTACCAGTTGCACATAGGCTTTGTGTCTCATGACAAGAGGATAGCACAGAGGGTTACAGATGGCCACATAGCGGTCATAGGCCATCACCGCCAAGAAGAGGCACTCTGTGGCTCCCAGCATAAGAACAAAGCACATTTGTGTAGCACAGATAAAAAAAGAAATATTTCCTGTCTGAGTCCAAAGATCCATGAGCATTCTAGGAAGAGTGACAGACACGTAACAGATCTCTAGGAAAGAAAAATTGCTAATAAAGAAATACATGGGTGACTGAAGTATGGGCCCTACTCTTGTTACTAGAATGATGATGCCATTCCCCAACAGGATAATCTTATAGATGACCAAGAATGTTACAAAGAGAAACCAGTGAAGTTTAGGAATATCAGAAAATCCCAATAGAACAAATTTCATAGTTATAGTGAGATTTGTGTCTGTAGTTTTTAATTTGTTTTCCCCTTGTGTTTTACATTTGATAGCTGCATTTCTGTGTTTGATTATTGGATTAAGATATGAGTTTTGATATGATTTCTCAATATCTCTCTGACATTTCTATTCTCTGATTTTGAAGAAGTTTGATGTGTCACAAGAAGAAATGATCTCATCTGTAGAAAAAAAATTCGATGAAGCAAATGTTTAAACAATGGATTGATAATGGTAGATTTGCATTAAAATTTTACCAATGAGAGCTATATAGTTATACATAACTATTTACTTTCAATATCAGAAGGAATAGTAAAGATGAGCTACTCCAGTCAAATATAGAATCATTTTTCAGTATCCCTTCCCTCATTTTTTAACCCAAGGATTTGCATGTAAAAGCTACCTTTTTAGGAAGACTACTAGCTATGCTAAAATTTTTCTCTTCTTTGAAAGTTCAAATATTTAATTGAAGTCTTTTCTTTCTGTTTTACTTTTAATATTATTTTCTCCTTTCTTGGAATGCATAGCATTGAAGCCGGTCAGCTTTTTTTTTCTTTACAAATTCTCCTACCATCATTTTCTATACTGTTAGTTATACTAACAGTTATAGTTAGTTATACTAATAATTATACTATTAGTTTATTACCTGAAGACACATAAACCATTTAGTTCAACAAATTTGATTTTAAATTTCTTAAGTATATTTACATTTATCTACTTATTAGTGCTAGAATCCAAGATACATCATCTAACCAACTCCAAACTTACTCTAACTGCTTTCTCCAAATTCCTTTGTGACAAAACAGATCCTAGTTAAAGTCAAGTTTTCCTTTTACCTAACATGAGCTGAGGCATCAGCAAAAAACACATTCAAGAAAAACATAATCTCTTTAGTCACATTTAAATTGTGACCAAAAAGAGCAACAAAACAATTTAGTTCTATGTAAAGATGCTACCAACTTCCTTAATTTGTTTGTTCACTTTATTCTAATATATGTTTTTAAAAATTCAGCTTGTAAGGTCTGTTCTCAAATATTTAAGGTCATCCATTCCTTACAATCTATGTACTCATTAACTGATTGTTCAATCTTATTTTGATCAATGGTCAGAAAATGTTGGCACAAGTTTCAATATCCTCTTATAAACCAATCATCTTTTCACCTTTCCCTCAATTTGGTTTGTCTTCTTAGTTCATTCAGAAGTTTCCCATTAAAGCTGTCTACAAAGGAGTCATACCCACTCGTTCTATAACAATCCTTCTCTTTCTAGGAAAACCTCCATGAATTCTATCACCAAATTCTGAATGCTGGTAAGTATACTTTTAGGGTGGGTATAGTTGGATTGAAGTAGGAATTAATTCATAATATTTGCCTATTTCTAAGGCCAAATATCAAGGTCCCCAGGACTTATGGAAACCTAAACTGGCTGAAGTACACCTGTCACTGCTCTCAAACGTACAAAATGTATTGGTTTTCCTCTACCTGCTACACGTTAGTTTATCTACCCTCTTATTTCCAAGATTATTCCAATAGCCTTGCCTGACTATAATTCATCCTACACAGAAAAAGCTAGTATGTCTATGGTCACAGTACCCTGAATGTGCCTGATTTCAGAAGCTAAGCAGGATTCAGTTTGATTAGTACTTGGATGGAAGAAAAAGCTAGTGAATTTTTAAAATAAGTAAATCTCATCATTTTACTTCTACCATTTATTGTAAGGCTACATTAGTGCCAATAGATAGCTCCTTAATGTTTCTGATGTTTCATTTCAAAACTTGTGGTTTTTTTCATTACTTTCACTATAAGTGAAGAAATTGAGCTACAAACTATTTGTACAGTTTTCCTAGAATTACTCATAATCTGTGTTCCAACTTTATACCATTGCTTTTGTCCATTCCCCTTGATTTGAAATATTATAAAACAATTTTCATACACCTCATTTTTATTTTTTCGATAATGGTTCTTTTGAGAAAGTATGACTATTCTGTAAGATATCAACTCCTATTATTAAGAGTTATACACTATGCTAGTATTTTCTTGTATTAAGATTATTTTCTTATAAAAAATCAAGACTATCTAGTCAAATAGGTATTTATTTTAATTTTTTTAAAAGAAGCATTTTTGAACATTGCCCTTTCCTTTCAAGTCTGAAATATTTTTTTCTTCCTTTCTGTAAAAACAAGAGAATGACATACTTCTTGTTTGTTCTGTACATTTTATTCAGGATTTCCTTTACTTCTCACAAAGTAAGTCTCAATGATGCCATGAAGAAATACTGGGATGAGAAAGAAGGTCCATGAGCAAGAAGTTGGTATATGCTTTTCACACACCCATAATAAGTGAATTTACTTACCTGATTCATACCCAAACATCCTTGTCATCAATTAGGAAAATAATATGTATATTAAAACCTAAGAATGTGCAAAAAGTACATCAGTATTGTACATGTTATCTGGAGACAAAATTCATCAATGGTTCTTACAGTAACTAAAAATTCCATCTTAATTAACTAGCGGGTCATATACCTCCCATGAATCTTATTCCAGTCAGTTTTGACCATGATAGAAAATCTTCCACAAGTCTCCATTCTAGTATTTCACATACAATTGTGAATTGGATATAACAAGTCACAACTTATTAACAACTTATTAAATTTGTTTATTTTCCATGAAGTCAGGGAGGATGTTTAGAGGCACAATGATATTGCAAAAACCAAATCTTTAATATTCAATGACATAAAGTTTCAGTAGTTCTCATTATTATTTATGAAATTATTATAGATTTTATTGCCAAAATCAAAACCTTTGCAACTTAGCTTCTATAATAGTAATAATAATAATAATAGCAACAATAATAATAATAAAAGAATATTGCTCTATTTTAATACTAATTTAAACATTCCCATTGAAAATCAAACCAATATATATAATGTGTACCAAATGCACTCAGGTATGTGACACAAAGTTGCCATGATTTTGTCCTTATTTTGTTAGGTGTGACACTATAATAGATGATGGGCCAAAGAATCGAAATAAATTTTGTTTCCCAATAACTTACATTTGGGAAGAAAAAAATGTTTTTTCCCCTCTAGAAGGAGATTCCTTACAAAATAAGGTCCTTCTCATAGAAATGTTGTTATTCATGATGGCAACATTTCCTTTGTAATCACCATACTAAAATATATGCATTTATTTTGTATGTAATGCATCATTCTATGATTTTGTTTTCTTTAATAGGTTATTTCACGATACTTTTAATTTTGTTTTTATTTTTGTGGGACTCAAACCCTAGGTCTTCTTCATGCTCAGTTAGTGTTCTACCATATCCCTGGCATTTAATATTCTTTTAATTGTTTACAAAAGACAAATTAGATAAGAAACTATATTTCAAACGCTTACCACAGTTTAGTTAATTTATGTTTTTGATTTATAAATCAGAAATGTATAATTCTGTTTTAAATAGTGATGCTTTCTGAGAGCAAGTTATGATCATTGTTTGGTTCATTTATATTTAGTATATACTGTTTTTCATGTGAAATAGTTATTGAATGCATTTAAGTAGAATATCTAATATTAATATTTTATATTCACCTTTTACAATTTTGGAGTCCAGTCTTTCTAGTTGATGAAGTTTTTAGACACTTTATCTATCTAAATTGTGACAAATGTATGCAGTTTTAAAACAAAATCTCAAGTTGGTTTTGAAACAGCCAGTGACCTATATAGCATCAATAGTCACTTTGTCCCAGTGGGAATATTTCTTCTCTCTGTTCACACCTAAATTGCTAGTTAAGAGCTCCTCTTTATAATCATTTGGCTATATTTTTCCAGACAATTCTTTAGATAGATCAGACTTTTCTGCAATCTCTCCATGGCATAAAATTTCACCTAATCTTTTTTCACTAAATAAGGACAGAATACCCAGATGCCCTAAGAAGATACACATTTGCCTACAGGAAAATGTTCAAATTAGGTATTGATTTGTTGTCTTGATTTGTTTTTCATAATTCTTCTGAATAGAACTTTTCAGCAAATTTTGTCTCTTGTTAACATCATCTGCACATACTTATCCTATTATTTTTCAATTCTATTTCACAGAAACTAAGATTACTTTATTAATATTATGATGCTCTTTCAGACATAATGAGAATACCTGAATTGACAAACAAATCCTTTTGTTTTCATGTCCATTTGATAGTGTTTTTATAGTGGACCAGTTTTTCAGACTTGTGTCCTCATCTTCACTACACTAAAGAAAAATATCTCTTAACTTTGGTCCTCAGCACTTTTCATTATTTGTGACATGCCTCTCAATTATTTTGCAACACATATTTGGACGTGATATGTGCTTCCAAATCTCTTACTATCACTGGTTATGACAAAATACCCCTTATTTCCACTGCCAGAGAGGTAAAACTAAGGCATTAACTATTGTGATTAATGGTACAATAAACAGAGGGAGATATCTCCCTTAAATCCTTATTTGATTTCCTTTCAAAAGATCCTCATGAGTGGGATTATTGGATATATGGTAGTTCCAATTTTAATTCTTTTCAGAAAAATCTGTACTATTTTCCATAATGGCTGAACCAATTTACCTTCCAACCAACAGTATAGGTGAGTTTCATTTTATTCAATATCTTTGCCAATACTTGTTTTCTTTTGTCATTTTTGGTAATATCTATGCATTAGTTCTGAGGTCATCTCTCCTTGTGGTTTTGATGTACTTCTTAGGCGAATAGTAAAGCTGAGCAGTTTTACATATATTTTTTGACAATCTCCATGTTTTGAGAAATGTCTAATCAGGTCACTTATCTGTTTGCAATCATACAGGTCCATTAACTAACCCCATCTTTTTTTTAAATAGTTGAAACAAATATTATGTTTATACATATCTCAGCTCTAAATTAAAAATATATTCAAAAGTTTACTGCAAACAACCATATACATTTTAGATAAATGAAAAAAAATTAATATTTACCCATGCATTTATAAGTATTATTCATGTTTTTCATTCTAAGATATGCAT